CGTGCAGGTTCCAGGCAGGCAGTGGAAGACAGCAACTATAGCAGGGCCATGCCAAGATGTCAAAGATATCAATACAGCGTAGGTGTCAGGGGCTGACCCCCAGGAATCACCAGCCACACAGTAAACATCAGTGGTGAGAGACCACCAGTCCCTTCATTAACATAGACAAGGCCAGGTGAAAATGACTACCTCAAAAAATAAGTTTGTTTGTTTTTTTCTGGGACAGAGTCTCATGTAGCCCAGGCTGACCTTGAACTCAGCATGCAGCCAAAGATGACCTTGAACCTTGGATCCTCCTGTTTTCTTTTCCCACGTTCTAGAACAACATACCACCACACCTGGTTTATTCAGTGGGATTAAACCCAGCCCTTCAAACATGCCGGGGAAGGACCCTACCAGCTGAGTTACATCCCCAGCTGACTCTCTAAACTTTTAATTACTTACTCCTGTGTCAGCCCCACTGGCAAGGACCTGGTAAGCCCAGAAAGCAGCCCCCTCCCCAGCAAACACTGAGCTGCGGAGGAACTTGGGAGTCTATATGGCGCTCCCCCCCAGGTCCTGCCACACTCATTCCCTTCTTCACCCCCATAACCTCCCCCACCCTCGGGTCCCCATAGAGGCTCAAACGCCCCCTGGCACCTAGTGTGCCACACCCAGCAAGCAGTGCCCTGGTGCAGCCAGGGAAGGTTGGAAGTCTCCATTGTCCTGGAGAGTGGCTGCCCAGTGATCCCCCTAATCAAGTCCAGAAAGAAACTCCAGCTCACTCCTCCCTCTGGTATGAAATGTGCAGAGCGCAGACCATATCATTAACATAAAACTTCCAGAAATAAGGCCACTTTCCAGACAGACTGTATTAATTGCATCAAGCCTGCACAGCTAGGGTGGTCTAATCCATGGCTTCCCATTGGATGGCTCTGGTTATAAAACCGACACAAAACGAACACTGGGATATAATTGAAGGAGGAGAAAGCGATAGATTCTACTGTTAAACCTACTATTTATTTACAGGTATTCTTTTATCTTTATTGTCCCTTTAACCCATGCCAAGAAACCCCAGACTAGTTAAATAACACAGCAAGCACAATTTCAGTAGAAAAGTAAATTGAATTTAACTTTACAAGATTGCCCTGTGATTTCAGCATATACTAATGACTGAAACTGACTCCCTCTATTAAATCCAAACACTTCCACTTCCCCGAGCCCAGATCTTGTGTGTTCTTGCATGAGACCTTGAACTTCAACAAGCACATGTATTAATCACTCTGGCTGATGACCATTTGCAGCTTCTAAATATGCAATGAAGTGTCCCAGCTCCCTTTCCACCTCCTAACGCTGGTACATGATCAAACCTGCCAAGAGGCTAAATGCTTTTAAGCATGGAAACCAGGCATGCAGTTTAAAGGAAGTTTCCCGCACAACAATGCCAAACACATAATGCCGTCACGTTGTGAACACCCTCCGCCACTGCCCGCTTTTACGTAAATCATAACTTCCACAGGGCTTGCTCACACAAGGTATTGTTCTAAGCATCTGGTCTCTATAGGACATCATGAAAGATCCTTAGAACAACCTTGGAGCATGTCCTATCCTTGTGCCCATTTCACAGACAGGAGAATGGAGGAACTGGGGAGGGAGGTGATTTAGTTTAGAAAGAGAGACTTGTTTCAGGCCACACAGCTAGCTCCACATGTCACTCCCTAGGGTGATCTGGCACACCTTCCGAGGACCACGGATGCCTCAGAGCAGGAAAGGGCTGAAGACAAGAGGGGTGCCCAGTGGCCTCCACTGTCCTCTCAGTACCTCCAGCTTCTGCCCTGCAGTGCTAGCCAGGCTCAGGCCCGTGGTAGCCCAACTGTTATATTCCACAGATCCACTTAAGGAGCCTTGTTTCTCAACATTACATACACATATGTAACGTGTTTCTAACAGAAAAGGAAGGGAAAGCTCAAAGAAGGACAAGGGCAGGTTCAAGGCCTCCGGCCCTTAGACAACACAGAGCAGGACCATTGGTCAATACTCTTACCACACAGCCACCTTGGTAAATCTGAGGGAAGACCTTTTCAGTTGCCAGGAGCACCTTGAACTCAAAGCCTCACATGATCTCAGCAAAGTGCAAAAGAAATAGGCTCCCGGCCCTTCCTCCTGCAGTGAGCATCCCAGGGAGGCATGGGTGGAAATCCCAGCAGGCCTAGGCATACCTCTGTGGGTTTTGTCTCCCGTGAAATCTCACCCTTCTATAAATAACCCCGGGCACATTTGTGGGCATGTAATTAACCTGTGTGGAAGCTCAGGGTTTCTGAGTTAATTTGAAGAGATGGGTTCAAAGTGTCCCTATCAGAAAAGGGACAGAACACGGTAAGCACTGCATCTTTATGGCCACTCCTTCCCAGCAGGTTCTTGGAGATTTTATGCCTCCGCTGCAGCCACTAATTAAACAGGCACTAAAAACACTTGAGCAAACAGCCTAGTGCCAGGGACAGAACCAAAGGGACAAAGCCCATTGGAAGAGGGGACTTCAATGCATCGAAATGATCAGTGAACAGTGGCATAACCTGGCTCGGGCTAGTTAACCAGACGGAACAGTGGCCAGGAACAGAGCTGGATATGGGAGGAAGATGGGGCAGGAAAAGTGAGAGCAGGTCCCTCAGGAGAAGCTCCTAGAGAGATCCAGGGCTCAGAGCCTCCACCCTAGGAACAGGACATCACCCTTCCTCCATCGCCACCCCTCCCCAGCACTGTGAACTGGGGTGGGGGAGGGGGGCTCTGCAGGTGCCAGATGAGAGCCACTTCCTCTGTGTTCTTTCCTTCCCTCTATTCAGCCTCATGGTTAAGTCCCCAGGCCCAGACTACAAGCTACAGGAGGTCAGGGACTCACATGCCGGACTCTGCCTATGTCTGCACAGAGCCTACAACTATATAGTCAAGGAGCCTCAGGGAGTTAAGGACTGAGCAAGTGAACACATGTTAGATGTGAGACCTCACCTCAGGGTTCTGAAGCTTCTCTATGAAGTAGGAAATAAAGCCTTGATTGGCTGTGAGGTTTACAGTCAAAGATGTAATACACAACAGACAGGTGCTCTAAGGACCCAAGTAGTGTGTGTAAGGACAGTATGACATGACAGCAGACTTGCCTGACAGCCAAGGCCTATAGACTTTGTCTGTCCTCTGCTGGGCCGAGGCCATGTGGCTAAATGGGATAATCCCCAGGACTAATCACAATTCCGCAACCATGGCCTAGCCACAGTCTCCCTCAGCCTTTGTAAAACGGGAACAGGGATGGATCCTGCTTGGCACTTGACAGAAAGGTACCAGGAGCACCCAAGCCACATCAGGGAGGCAACTCAGTCCTCCTCGCTAACTCTCCTCCATGTTGGCAGCTCCTGAGGCAGGCCAGAGCCAGCAGAGGGTTAAGCACACCCTAGTGGCACGACCAGGCGAGGCAAGGGGATCACGTTTCTACATGCAGAACTTGACCGAGTCCAGTCATAAATGCTCAGGCTGATCTTTGATAACACAGCCCCCTGGGTGGGTGCAGGGCTGCACCACTAATTACAGGAAGACAGAGCAGAGCAGCTGCCCAGATGAGCAGGCATCCCCAGCTCACCAAGCAGGGTCTTCCACAGATTCCCAGAACAGATCTGCACAGTCACATGTGCCTCAGTCACCCTGGGGACTAGGCGGCCCAGGACCAGGAGCCAGCTTCCTTGCAAGCTGTTCTAACTCCTTCCTGGGTGATTTTGGTCCCTGCTTTATGCATTTAAGACACAAACCCATAAGAAACCAGAACTCCCCCTCTTGGAAGTCAGATGCAATGACGTCACCACCTGTCCACAGCAGTAGGGGCACTGAAGGCTGCAGGCCACCCCACTGACAAGAAGGCCAACGTTCTCACCCAGAGCAGGGGCTGCTTGTGGCTTTGTGCAGAACCAAAGCTCCAACCAGAACAGTTCTTGAGACAACACCGATAAAAAGCAAAATCTGCCCAATAAAAATAGCTTTCCTTTCAGAACCTGAGTCCAGAGAAAGCCTGCAACGTGCCTGACTGACAAAGCAGGGGCGAACTGAAGTGCCCCAGCACTACCTCCATCCTCTCCTTTCCTGGCCCCGGCCCGGAAACCAGGCCACAGCTGCTTGCCACGTGAGTCTGTGTCAGCATCCTGGCTCCAGCAGCCACAGGGTGTTGCAAACCAGGCCCCAATATGAGGTTGCAGGGAGGGCTGTCTACCCTCGACCTCTGGGGAACCCCAGGCCACAGCAGTCTGTGTTTGTGGAGGTAGAGAGCAGGGGCCAGTGGAGGCTGTATGTCACCACCTGGCTGTGAATGTCCTCTACAGGACAGACTGTTTCACTGCCGCCCTGTCCTGTGGCAAGTAGAGGAAGATGGAGCAGGCCTGGGATCTGCCCAGAGCGGGCTAACTTCCACAACCCCCGTCCCCAGACACACACAATGTTTCACTCCTGCCCATGGCCACAGCTTTTTAAAAGGCTCCTCTTTTGGGCGACTTTTCTCCCCCTCTAAGTTAATGGGCAACACATTGTCCCAAAGAGAAAGTCAGCGTTTTGGACGGCTCCAGCGATGTACACAGACAACCCAGGAATCCTCTCCTGCCCTTGTCTGGGGTGGGTGGTGGGGCGGCAGAGGCAAGGGGCAGAAGAAAATTTCAGATGTTAAGTGTTATCCAATTAAACTTTAGCTAAACAGCCCAAAGAGATGAAATGTGGAGTCTGGGCAGTGCATTCTGGGAGTGAGACTCTCAGAATGGGGGTGGGGGGGTGGGGGGGGCAGAAGGATAGTAGCCCCTTGACCCATGGGGACCAGACACATGCTTACAGTTTGGTTGACATCTTTTACCACCTCCCCTGGCATCCCCCTAAAATGTCTTTTGGTTGTGGGGGGGGTTAAATTTCCCCCCCCGGGACCCCACCTCAGGTCCCCAGCTCTACCCAGGGTACACCCCACCATCCCAGGAGCCCACCTCCCCCACCGCAGCGGCTGTTACCTGACAACTGACACTGGCATCCAAAGGGAGCCTCCATCTGACCCTCACCCTGAGTCCCGTCGCCCGAGATGGGGCGTGCGCCACAGCAGGGCAGCGGGAAGCAGGGCGGGAGAGCGCCCAGGGCGCGCAGAGGTGAAGTAATCACGGAGGTGGGAGGGTGGGAGGAGGAGGCAGCTATGGGGGCCATCGATGGCAGCTGGGCAGGCCTGCACGGCCCTGGAGAAAAAACAATAGAAAAGACTGGTCAGTTGGGCCCTGGACTGCACAAGAGGCTTGGGGCGCAGGAGGGGGCCCGGGTCACAGGGCTGCTGGCCAGCCTCCAAGAGGGGTTGGCCCCTTGGGTACTAGCCCTACAGGGAGGGCAACTGAGGCACAAGCAGGGGAGAAAGGGTCAGAGTGCATTAGCAGGGGTTACAACCCCAGCTGCCAGGTAGAGTTTCAAGGGTGGCGGGGCAGGATTTCTGCCTCTGCCTCTGGGGATCTTGTGCAGGAGGCTAGGGCACAGAAGGCCTGTCAGGGCCCACTCCCAGTTAAAATTCCATAGAAGGGGTCTTTTGGAACAAAATGAAGCAGGCTTCATTTGAGGATTTCTTCCCCCAAATCTGTCCCTCCCCCCCCCCGCCCTTGGAGGAGGCAGGAAGCTGTATCAGGTTAGGTCCTAGGGAAAGTCACCCCAAGTCTACCTTCAAGGGTCTGGGCAGGGATGAGCCTCCTACCTAGCCAATTACCAGCACTGCCCAGACCCCACCTTAGTCTTCACCCTAGCTTAAGCATCCCCACTCCCTCCTCTGACATTAACGACCAGAGACAAGGCCAGGGCCAGTGGGAGAGGGGGGCAGTGGCTTGCCTCCACTCAGCCCCACAGTGAGCCTCGGCTGCCAGCAAGGCCTGCATTTGATTTGGCCGTTTATCTTACGTGGCTAAGAGACCACCAGGGCAAAACATTTGTGTGAAGCCCTTGCCAAAACCACAAGTGAAGAAGCCCAAATTCCCTGGGTAAATAATGAGCAGAGAAGCATCAGACAGACTAGCAAACATCAACAAGATGAGGGGCGCTGAGCCTGGCAGGCTCTGCAGGGGAGGCCACAGCGCCTTCACCTGGCACCTGCAGGTCTGCACAGGTGGGACTCTGCCCACTCCACCACCACCACAGGGAACTGCCTCATTGCAAGAGACCCACAGAGCCAGCAAGCCCACTGAGACCCTGTCAGTCCTTCTCTAATCCAGGTTTACTAGCATGCCGCTGAGCACAGGAGACAGTGGATACCCATTGCACAGACAGGAAACAGAGGCCAGGGCTGCAGGAAACAGCAAGCTTCAGCAGCAGCAGGCCTCATCCAAACCCCACTGCTGGGCTCCAAAATCATAATCTTTTCTCTGCATTCCCCACTTCTCTCAAGTATACAACCAGGATTAGGGGGTTCAGGGCATGAGAAGACCCCGCCCCCTCCCCAGCTTGAAGCTTGGACACTGCTGAAGCCCACTGAGCTAGTGATGTCTTTATACAAGGTTGGCCCAGGGCCCCAGATGTTTCTGACATGGCAGAGCCCCAGAAGGGTGTGGCCAATAAGCCCCCAAGTGGCTGCAGAGCCAGAAGGATAACATCTGAGGCCACTGTCACCTGCCTCCCCTGGAAGGTCAGTACTTACCTGAAAGCCCCTTGCACTGAACACTGTGTACTTGACCCTGTCCACTACTGGCTTTGAATCCTTATGTGGGCCCTCCCTTCAGACCACAGAAAGCTCTTGATCATCATCAGAATCCAACTGTGTCTCTAAAGTTCCACTATACTCTGACCCACTCCATGGCTGTAGCTGGGATGGAGTGACCAGGGTACCCTGTATGCTGACAATCAAGGCCATGTGGGGGTGGGTAGAAGCAGGAGGAGCATCCTTGACCTCAGTAAACAAAATGTTCCTGGGTTCTGTGAGAGGCTATAACTCAGCCAGCACCAGACATTATAGCTGAGCTGCCAATGAGCTGCCAATAATAGCCCCCCAGAGGTGTCTTGTTCCTTCTGATGGGACAAAGGGCCATGGAGCAGGAAGGAAAGAGCCATGCTGCTATAGACTTTCTCTGGAAGGACAGCACTGGGGCTGAGCCAGGGTCTGTGAAGGGGAAGTCACACACATCAGGAAGCCACAAGGCCTCATCAGGAATGCTGACCTCATCGAGGTCCACCTGTTCCAGGAACCTGTTCAAAGGAGAGTGTGGGACCCCTCTAGGACTCTTAGGGCAGGTCCCCTCTAGAAACAGACCTCTGTATACGGGGGAACTCAAAGAATCCAGCTCCCACAAAAACCTAGTGAGAACCCTCCATCCTATGATGTAAAAGTCCTGGGGAGGCAAATCCATGGAGACTGAGTAGTAGTTAACAGGGCAGTGAGGACTCAGGGTTTGTGGAGTCAGGCTATCTTGGGTGTGATGACCCAAACAGTAGCTATGGCAGTCAAAGCCACCAATGGGACAGATTAAAATGAATTTCATACTATGTGAGTTTTAATCTAAAAGGAAGTTCAAGATGAGGACTTAGATGAGGACTTTGTGGGCCTCAGTGCCTATGCCAGGCCACCCCCACCTCACCCCCACCCAGTCCCAGCCTTCCATAGGGAAGACTTAGATCTAAAACACAAAGACAACTCCTAAAACCTGCTGATAGACAGTGCACCTGACAGAGGATGCCAGCCTGGGGAAGGGGGATAGACACAGTGGCAGTGAAAAGACAGAGACAGAAAAGTGGGTTCAAATTCCTCCTTGACCATTTCCTGCCACGTGACCTAACACAGTCACTTTTTCAAAGCATCTGCCCCCTTCTTAAGGGGAAAGTCAGGGCAACATGCAAAGTCAGATACCTAGACAACACAGTCACTATCCTTAATCACTATTATTTCTTTCCAACCCTGGAACTTGCTGTATTCCTTCTGGGTTCTCTTACATCACCATGGCTGCTCCAATGAGGAAGCACCTTACAAAGCTCTGCAAGACCCCCTTTCAAAAAGCTTTCTGAGCTGCAGCTGGAGCTCCTCAGGCACGAGACCCAGGTTCCACTCCAGGCACCTCCAAAATAATTAATTAAAAATAAAAGACGTTGTGACCTGGCTCTGCGGGTAAAGGTGCTTGCTGAGAAAGGCCTTGGACCTGGGTTCAATCCCCAGAAACCCCATAAAGGTGGAAGGTGAGCCTTGATTCCACAAAGTTGTCCTCTGACCACATCTGCACTGTAGCACACGCCCAGACAGGCACATCATTCACGCACATACACAACACTAATAAATAACACTTTAAAAAATGTTTAATAGAAGTTTTCTTTGGGGATCTAAGCCAGTCCAAGCAGACCCATGATGTAGGGGCCGCAGTCACGACCATGGCTTTATGTGGGACCCTGGTGGTTTAATAATAAACCCTACAAGGCTCAATTTTTTTATCATGGAAATTCATTTTAATTAGGGGGAAAGAAATGAACAATTGATACCTGTATTATCTCATGTCAGCCTACAGCCTTTCTACGGGATAGGGACCGTGAGGGCCCTGTCAGAAAACGCAGAACCTGAGGCTCCACACGCATGAAGTGGGCTTCGGAGGGTCAGACTCCACCTTCCTGGTATCTGAAAAAAGTCTCCAAATAAGGCTTCTGGGATGATTGCTAAGGTCCACACTGGGGGCAAGATCCCTGTTAAAATGCCTTCCTGCAATCACTGGGAGGAGGCCCGAAGCCCACCTCCCTCACAAGCAGGCCTCGCAGATGCTGGGCTCCATGCCCTGCACATGCGCACTACCCGGCGACACGCCCACCACCAGGAACATGTACACAGAAAATCCGCACAGCCCGGGCCTAAGTCCCGGAGTCCCGAGCTCCGGACCCTGGAGATGGCAGATTCCGTGCTCGCGGGGTGGCCTGGCATACACCGTGCAGAAAGGTCTATTTTTCTCCCTACTGGTGCCTTTCGACGGATACAAATTTTTTTAAGGCGAGAACTCCTACCGATGGTGCAGAAATGAGTCTGAGATCAAAGGAGACAGACAGCGAAGCCAGCGCGTGTGAGCCGAGGGACCCTGAGCAGGGGAACCTGACAGTCCCCGCGCCCCCTCCCCCCGTGCCAAGACATTAATTCTCACAAGTCGGAGAAAATTACTATGCATGAATGCAAAAAGCATGATCAGGAGTAATTAACATGGCTTCATATGCAAATTTTATTAATGCAGAAGTACAAAGTCATTATGCAAATGTAACTTACGTCAACTCTCTTGACAAATATTCATCTCCGAGGCTCAAGTTTCTCCCTTTTTATTTATTTATTTATTTAATTCTATCTCTTCCCTCCCTCTTTTTTCCCCCTGGGTTGTTTTATTTAGTTATTTAGTTATTTTAATGGGATGGTGGGCAAGGAGGACTGAGGAGGGACGGAGGTGGCCCTGGTGGCCACTGAGGCCCCAGGAAGCCACAAGGAGTATTTGACAAGTTTGCTAAGTTGTTTTTCCGAACACAGAAATTTATTCCTGCATTGTTGATTTTTTTTTTTTTTAAGTTGTTGGCAGGTATAAGACAGCTCATATGAGAAGGGGGGAATTTAAAGAAAAAAAAAAAAAAAAAGCTCTGGGCAGCAGGCAGCCAATCAAAACGCCAGAGACGGTAATGAGGGCGATTGATGGCTGTTTGGCTTTTACTGCAGGGTAATGAACTAGAATCCAGTCTGAGGAGGGGGAAAAATATGAATATTCATGAGACTGTGCTCCTGCCTTTGATGATTAAAGAAATTTTTAATATTCAAATAAGCGCTTGCCAAGTGATTAACAAGGAACTAGCGGGAATCGGAAATGGAAGCCAGGAAAGAGGGAGCGGACCGCGCGGGAGAGGCAGCCCCAAATTTCATAAACAAGAGAGGCAGATACCCCAATTCGCACGCAGGCAAATAAAAACATTTGTTTTTGATCACCTCAATATTTTGCCAGCTACTTTGTCTTAAGGATGATAAAAATGCTGTGTATTAAGAGGGGTAAAGGGACGTACCATGAACCCCAGTGCATTGCTCATATTCAAGAATCATTATCCTGATTCTAAGCTCGCCTCCTCCCACCCTGACAGGAAATTAAGATTCTTTTTCCGGTTTGCTAGAGAGAAGATGGAGGAGGTGAAGCCAGCTCAGACTTGAAAAGTCAGTGCTGGAGATACGGGGTTTGCCTGCTCCAAGCACCATGTTGTGGTGACAGGGCCCTGA